CCCTTGTCACCCCGCAGCCCTTTACGCGCCCGTCCTGGAACCTGTGCTACCAACCCCTGTGGAACGGGATGGCCACCGCCAACATTCCGTCACCTAGGATACAGTCACCAACATTCTCTCCCCTGGGACATGGCCAACACCAAAATTCTACCCACTGGAGCACGGCCACCAGAAAACAGCCAACACGGGGAGCTCGCTGTCACTCCTGTCTGTGCCGGGACACAGCCTCTTGACCTGGGGCTGTGGTCACCTCACAGGTCCTCACTGTCCTGTTCCACCCCTGTTCCCCTGGGCCTCCTGCTTGCTGTCAGGGCTGGGGCAGAGCAAGATGGAGCTCAGCATGAGGGTGCAGGCAGCTAAATGTGATGTCTAAACACCAGGAGCAGTTCAGGTGTTTGACATCCTGGCCTCGTGCCACCTGGGCTGTCTTACATCCCAGCATCCCATGGATATACATGAAACTGGCAGACAGGAGACGGGACCTGGGAAAAATGCATGCCTCTTGAGATCAGGCACGAGCGATACACAAGGGCATCTCTCATTGCACTAAATGCTTTTTTTAATTCCAGTTCTAGCACCTAGAATTATGCTGTCTCTTTGAGTTGCTCAAGGATATGGATTAGGTGAATCTCCATCATTTTTGCACTTTCAAGTGTATCGCCTTGACTGAAAGTCGACTGAAAGCCAACAGAATGCAGTCTCCTGTGACCCAAAGTATTTAGAGCAACAGGACGCAGAAGTGGAGGTTTCTCAAAGCAATTGGTACTTAGCTTCTTAAACCCTTACAAATCTGACCGTAACACAAAAAAAAAAAAACAAAAAACAAAAGCTGAAAATAAGATTTAGAATGGAAGTCCATATCCATTTTTACCTATAACTTAATGATGACCACATAAGAAGGAATACAAGTTATACTCTGATCAGGAGACAAACAGTAAGATTCTGTCCCATGTAACTGACATTTGCTTCATGCCAGTACCTGGAAATATTAAGAATGGAAAAAAAAAAAATAATCCAAAACCAAAACAAACAAACAAAACTAACAAAAATTTACCCCACGCAGGTTTTTTTCTCCATGTGGAATATCAATGTGCAAGAGGGTTTTATAACAAAGTTTCCATACTCAGTGATCTTAAATGCCTGATGGACAGTGGGATTGAGTGCGCCCTCAGCAAGTTTGCCGATGACACCAAGCTGTGTGGTTCGGTTGATAAGCTGGAGGGAAGGAATGCCATCCAGAGGGACCTTGACACACTTGTGAGGTGGGCTGATGCCAACCTCATGAAGTTTAACCATGCCAAGTGCAAGGTCCTACACCTGAGTGGGAGCAATCCCAGGCACAGCTCCAGGTTGGGCAGAGAAGAGATTCAGAGCAGCCCTGCGGAGAAGGACTTGGGGGTGCTGGTTGATGAGAAAATGAACATGAGCCGGCAGTATGTGCTTGCAGCCCAGAAAGCCAACTGTATCCTGGGCTGCATCAAAAGGAGTGTGATCAGCAGTCGAAGGAGGTGATCCTGCCCCTCTGCTCTGCTCTTGTGAGACCTCACCTGGAGTATTGTGTGCAGTTCTGGTGTCCTCAACATAAAAAGGACATGGAACTGTTGGAACAAGTCCAGAGAAGGGCCACAAGGATGATCAGGGGCTGGAGCACCTCCTGTATGAAGACAGGCTGACAAAGTTGGGGCTGTTCAGGCTGGAGAAGAGAAGGCTGCATGGAGACCCTTCCAGTATCTGAAGGGGGCCTATAGGGATGTTGGGGAGGGACTCTTCATTACGGACTGTAGTGACAGGACAAGGGGTAATGGCTTAAAACTTAAACAGGGGAAGTTTAGATTGGATATAAGGAGGAAATTCTTTCCTGTAAGGGTGGTGAGGCACTGGAATGGGTTGCCCAGGGAAGCTGTGAATGCTCCATCCCTGGCAGTGTTCAAGACCAGGCTGGACGAGGCCTTGGGTGATACGGTTTAGTGTGAGGTGTTCCTGCCCATGGCAGGGGGTTTGGAACTTGATGATCTTAAGGTCCTTTCCAACCCTAACTTTTCTATGATTCTATGTTAAGGACCTTTGAGTTTTGTGGAACTCTACCATGACTGCTAAATAAAATAATAATTTAAAATAAATATTTATTATTAAAATATTTTAAAACACTCTGAGAATTTGAACACTTTGCTTACTCACTGCATACTTGCATATGGTAGGCTAACAGTGCCACTGAACTATAAGGGGCAGAAATAAACCATAATGCCATTTTGACAGGCCTGTTAAACCACTCTTGGTTCCTTGGGGGTGTAAAGGGAGGAGGGGAAGAAGGGGAAGTTGTAGGCTTTTTTGTTTTAATCTATTCATACTTTACTTTCCTTTCTATAATTATGTAAAGAGGGAAATTTCACCTCTGGTATAGCATATCACTACAAAACATGTTAAATAAAACACTAATTATATACGTAGTTATGTCAGATTTAGACTTTAAGAAGGGAACAAGGAGTCATTACACAGAAAGATTTCTCCTTGGATAGCTGCAGTTGAAGTGACATGTTTAGGAGCTTTGTGGTGGACCACAGACTCTTATTTGTTAACACTTATGGGCCAATCTCTGTTGTCAGATAGATCAAGAGGAAAGGGACACAAGAAAGTACTAAGAGCACTCAAGTCCAGTTCTTGTATTGCTGTGCAGGCCTTGACCTGCACAGTCATCGTGTCTAACCATTGGCCTCCTCCAAGTGCCAGGCCCTGTGTCAAGATCCCTCAGTGATCACAGGAGATCTTACACTTTGATGCAGAGGTGCTGTGCTCCCTCATGACAGACAAGGGATGAAAATGCATATTTCCACAAGCTATCCTAGTTGAAAAAAACACAAAAGGCTCATTACAGAATCAAAAAGATGAGGTTAAGTTTCAAAAAAATCCTTTTTTTCATGGAGCGGTGTCAGCCTGTATTAGCCCTCTGCTGATTAGACATGCTCAAGATGAACTCAAATTAGTGTTTTTGGAAAGCAGAATAAGAGAAATTAATTTCCCTAGGAAAAAAAAACAACAAAACCCCAACTGCTGCATGGGGCACTCTGCTAAGTAGTTCAAGTTTTTCTCTGAATAAGCTGAACTTATTGAGGTATTAGAATTTTTTCTAAGCCTTTATCTGAATCAGGCAGAGCAGGAATTACTCCTGGCAACACTGTCTCCCAGAGAAGTTGCCTAACTGCTGCACTGTAGATTTTCAGAGGTACCACCACTATTACTGAATAATTCTGTGATGTATTCTCAGCTATTCTGCAATTCCAAAATCAAAGCATCTTGGAAATATGATTATTTATTTATAGTTTATGGGCTTTAGCAAGACCATAATGTAACCCTCAGCACCCTCTATTAGGTATGACAAATGCAAAACATATAACCTGAATATGCGATATATATATATATATCCTCAATAGTCACCGCTGCTGTGCAAGGGGGTTGGCTGCAGGTCTATGACAAACAAATTAACAGAAGGTGGCAGTAACTAATAGGAGTGCCAAAAGTAGGAAATGATGGAAGACCTGGGGAATGGGAAAGAAAGGTAAGTGACAAAAAAGAGGCAGCAGGTAGCAGAATATTTTTGTTACCCTTATTTCACTGAAATGACCTTCAAATGAAATTTTAGTTCACAGGTAGCTTGGGATCAAACAGAATTCCTTCTTTGTTCTCCCTTTAAACATATTAAATTCAGTCAGCCTCATTTGTACTGGGGGATGGATTTTATTTCTTTGTTTGGTTTCCTGAGGCTGAAGCTTTTTCCCAGCCAAAAATATCACAGTATGACACTTCTTCACACTGAAAGTTCTGCTGGAGAAATCCACATGATGAAAGATTTACTGATTTTCCAGTTGTACTTTGGGGCTCTCCCAGGTTTGTTTAGGACATTTGCTCCCTTAGTCTGACAAAAAAACAAACAAACAAACAAAATATCGGTGACGTGCTTTGTTTTTGTTTTTGTTAATTTATTTTTTATTTTTTTAAATAAGCAAAGACTGCAGTAGATAACTGAGCCCTGTTCATGGACCTTGGGAGAATAATTATGCAGCCAGCTGTTCCTCTCAGTTTCAACATTGCAGAAGGGGTGGGTAGGAACTTTGTTGTGATGTTCTTGTTCCAGAAGAGTAAGTTAGTTGCCACAGGCTCAGAGGCCTCTGAGGAAGAGCTGTTGACATCAGTGCTTCTGGCAGTCAGGGATGCAGGGTTTGGCATATGTTGCTGGCTTTTATTTTCTTGTATGTGCAGCCTGATATCAACCTCACAGTGAAAAAAAGCTGGTGAATGGAAGTTGCCTGTGCATAAGTCTCCTTTGTGAATTTCCATTACCATTTCTGTTCACAAAGGCTATGGGTTTCCTTTCATTGCTGGCATGGCAAATATTTCATTCCTCTGATCTGCTTCAACGTGCTTGAAGAAGCTATTTTCAAATTCATCTGCTTCCTATTTTTTTTTTCCAAGGAATTCAGTGTTTTTTATAGGTATCATACAGCTATACTAAGTCTACAGCACATGAAAGATTGAAAAGGTCATGTATCTAGAAATTCCTCTAAAAAAAAAAAGAATAAAAGAAAAAGAAAATAGAATAAGAAAAAAGAAAAAAGAAAAAATGAAAAAGAAAAAGAAAAAGGAAAAAGAAAAGGAAAAAAGAAAAAGAAAGAAAAAGAAAAAAAGGAAAAAAGAAAAAGAAAAAAGAAAAAAGAAAAAGAAAAAGAAAAAAGAAGAAAAAAAAAGAAAAAATGAGAAAAGGAAAAAGAAAAGGAAAAAAGAAAAAGAAAAAGAGAGAAAAAAAAAGAAAGAAAAAAAGAAAAAAAGAAAAAGGCTTCAACAAGGATTACAAATGTATCCATGAAGATATACATGGGTGCTAACATTTAACAGACACAGCTGTGCAGCTGCATTTAGGTTTGAAATTTTAAAGGCTATATATTGCCATCCTCTTGTTTCTAGAAGCTTGGTATTCAGTTGCACTGAAGTCGTACAGCAAAGCGTGCCTCGTTTTAAATCTCTGATCTTCATTTCGACAGAACAGAGGAAGATGCATGTGTCTGAGGAGCTGTGTGTTATATGCCAGTGTGTGTAATTTTTTTAGAGAGATGTGAATGACCTGGAATTCCTGTTTATGCCTAAATTTCTTTGTCCCTAGAATACCTGTCACCACTTGTTAATGGATTAAAAGGACCAGGTTTTAACTTATACTGAAGCTTTGAAGGTCTAATTATGTTCAAGGTCTACCAGAGCCAGGTATCTAAAAATGGTGCATCAAGTTTAAATTGTAAGAAATTAAGCTAAAAGGCAGCTTAAAAGGCCATCTGTCCCTCCTAAGATATCATATGATTCGTAAGACTCACAGAGCCGGTAAATTTTCTCTATGATCTCCCCCATCATCAAGTATTTAAATTTATTTACATTTCAAACAAAAGTACTATAGTCCCTACCATGCAGGAACCATATTCCTTGTCTGCAGAGAAATTGTGTAAGGAATTCTGATGAAACAACTAGGAATTGCATACAAAATGCTGTTTCATTAGTTCCTATATTCTTTTATCATCAATAGTAAGGTTGAGTTGCAAGTACACGCTGACACAGGACATCTACACAGTGATTATTACCTTCTTGCATTTTGCTTGACAACTTTGCTATGACCTTGCAAACTGAGGAACCTGTCTGTCACTTATAATTCATGTATCACCATCAATTTCCAGAGGACTAGGCAGCTTGTCCTATATCTCTAGTTAGGAAGAAATGAAAAATGCAGCAAAACCCCTTTTTTTTGTTTTTTTTTTACTGTAGAATTGTTGCTGAAGACAATGGTACAGATGGTTATTTTTTGTAAGCCATTAACCAGACATTTCAGGAATATAATTTTCTCTTCTACTGTTTATTTGAAATCAAAGCAGACTTCTTGTGCTGTTCTAGCAAATAATTTCTTTTGCATGGGATGGCATAGGATGGCTAATATGGTAGAATATTTCAGTGAATATTTGGTTGGCTATGGGAACATGCTATTCTAAGGGAAATTTTTTGAATATATTTTAAAAAAATATCAACATATAAAGCAAAAGGAGTTGTCAGTATTTTTATAATTCTATGATAAATTTTCTAATTAGAGAGAGCTGCAAAGGTGGTGAGGAGTGCTTTTTCTTTGCTATTTATTTCTCTTTCTTTTAAAAGTATTTGTGTGAACTGCAGCTCTGAAGTTAATATTATCCCAAATAAAATTATTCTATGATTAAAATAACTATTAAAGTTGGAAAATAGCTGCTTACCATGAAATCTATCTTTAGTATTTCACAGAATCAATGAGGACCAATCTTGTCTCTGTTTTAAATTTGCCCTTTTTTTCCTAGGGGCAAAAATAGTAGAAGAAACAAAGGTATCAAAACAACACAGCCTAAATCCTCTTCAAGGCTCTTTTAGACCAGAAGCAATACAGAAGAGGGTAAAAAAAAAACAAAACAACAAAACAAGAAGAAAAGAAAGAGACTGGAGAAAACTGATTTTGCATTACCCACCAGATCAGTGGCTGATCCAAAAAGGAAATCCAAGCCGTTTAGTTCCTAATGTATTGCTTCACTCAATAGACTAGGTTGTCACCATGAGATAGTCTGTATTTTCTCCTCCAAGAGAAGAAAGTAGAAGTTACTTTGCTAAGACAATATCTGCCCATGAAAATTGTGCACAACATCTTACCAAGCACCTGTTTCTCATTACTCTGTAGCCAATGTATGGCAACCAAATTTATCAAGATCCAGCCAGAAGATACTCAAACGGAGGTTTCTGATTTAATGTGAGGTTGAAGGGGTTGCCCACTTTCAACAGTCTTGCTTTCCATAGTGAAAGGTTACTTGGTAGATTGATTTTAGCAGTAAAAGATTACCTGGAGATTGTTCCAGGACTGCAATGGCATCCTTAACAGCATTCATAAGAACACACTTGAGCCTCCTTCCTAAGAGATTTAATTCCTTAAAATATTTACTTATAAATTTGGATCAAGGGGGAGAACAAATTTAAGCACCAGAGTCACAAGCTCATGAAATATTATACTCAATGGAAGAATAAAATCATGTCAGATCACTAAATTTCATAAATATTTTACCCTTTCTTGAGGTTTCATTTCTGAGATACAAGTTCTATACAAATTCCGAGACGTGGATGAATCTGCTGAATATTTTATCACATTCCCACATGCTCTAAAAGAACATTACAACTTCACTGGAAATTTTCATTATGAAAACACATGGATAAAATTACTTGTGCTAGGAAAGAACAGTGCATCTCAGAGAGTCTTCATGATGAAAAAAATTGGTGACAGTACATATCTGAGGTAAGTGCATGAATAAGCAACTGAAATCCAACACATAGGCAAAACCTAAAGAGCAAGCATTGATGTGAGCATCCACTGACTTTCCAAGCAATCCAGTAGAAATCCCCAAGTGCCCAGTGCAAATATATCTCTAGGCACCCACTTCATGTATGACTAGCTGAGAATGCTGTGTGTGACAATGTCACAGAGGGCTTTAGGTGCATGCTGCTTGGTGGGCCCCCATTAAAGACGTAGGAAGTGCCAGCTGCTGAGCCCAGGCTGCTGGAGATGTTATTGCCAATGAAACACTGAAGCCACTTTACATCAGCAAAGCCATACAAAAATATTGTGATTATCTCTAGAGTTCTGTAAAACCAACTAGTGCAAGCCAAAAATTCAGACTGTTTAACTGCAAATAAGGGAAAATCGAAGGGAGAATCAAATAAAAGTTTTAATTTCTCTAACATAATAACAGGAAAACCCTGGGAGGCAGTGTTTTAACTTTGTAAAACTTATTTAATCTTTCCAATGCTATCCTTCACTTCTAAAAATTAGAATCAAAGATGATTAAAACCTGCTCTTCTCTTAATTCGTCTGAAGTGGGTTGTTGTCTATGGCTAGGAAGGAATGTCAGACAAAAAGCTGTGATGTGGCTCCAGGTTTTAATTTAATATAGTAGAAATACGTATGGTTTGTTACTTTTTAATTTAATATACATTTTCATTGCTAAAATAAGTTTTGGAATTTTTAAAAGTGTTCCTGCAAATTCTTCTAGAAATCCACTGGAAATTATTTACAATGGGAGCACAGTTCAAAGGGAATGTCACAACTGAGCGACAAAAGCTGGAAAGTGATAGACACTCCGTACTGGCTATGTACTTAAAACAGTTCCCAAACTAAATATTTCTACATAAATTATACTAAAACCACCTTGCTTTTAGCTAGTTCATAATTAAAACATGTTTCAACACCTCTAGAAAACTCAGTATACGAATAGTCTATAGGCTGAAAGATATCTGCATATAAAGTAATTGCACCAATTGTCAGGGCTGATTGGACAAAATCCCAGTGCCGCACCCTGTTTCATCCCAAGAATGAAATTAAGACACAAATGAGGTCAAGTACTGTAATTGGACTGTTTATTACAAAAAAACAGTTATTATAAACAAGGGAATTATTCTAATAAAGAGGATAGTGATAGGACAGATTGGAAAAAAAAGGTAGAAAATGAAGCAAGGATTCGGGGTGCAGAGAGAGATAGTCATCACCGCGGATCTAGTGGTGTCCCAGTGATCCATTATTATCGTCATCAGTGGTGGGAGCTCTTCAGGGTTCGTAGTTGATATTGGAGCAGAGTGTCCCCCAAGAGTCCATCGGAGGTCGCTGTCCTCATGGAGTCCCCTTGAAGGTACCCATTTTGGTGATGTCTTACTCCCCCTTTTATAATGGTCTGGGGGGAGTACCTATGTTCTTCATGACATGTAGCCTGTTCTTGGTGGACCAGTTTCCCTGGTCTTGCAGCCGCCTCTTCTAACTGCACGTGCCTGCATACACAGGTCTGCAGCAATTCTTGGGATAATGGACAGCAATTCCTCACACCAGTCCTTGAGGTAATGGACAGAAGAGTCTTATCTCTTTCCCATTCATCCCTCAGGCAGTGGAGGGTGGAGTCCCATCTCAGCTTCTCCTACCAATCTTTGAGACAATGGACAGTGGAGTCTGATTTCAGATCAGTCTCTCACAGCAATATGCGCATGTCTTTTTTTTTCTTTTTGATTGTTTCTAAAAGTCTTTGCCAAACAAAAAAAAAAAAAAATAAAAAAAGAAAATGTTCAATATTTATTGCCAAATAAGTTTAAAATGTAAATTCACATAAGCTAAATCCAACTCGCTGTAATATAATTTGTCTGGGACATGATAATTTTTAAAGAAAAGTCCTTGTTGATAATTATAATCAGTCTAGTTCTGAACTTTATATAGTACATGAAAAATACCACAGAATCATAGAAACAGCTGGGTTGGAAAAGAGCTTTAAGATCATCTAGTCCAACCATTACCCCAAGACTGCCAAGACCACCACTAAAGCATATCACTGAGGGCAAGAATGATCCATCCTAGTATTCTGGAAAACAGGTAGACATATCAGGAAGCTGGCATGTCTAAGCAGTGTTTATGGAGCAGCATAAAGAAGGGAGAAACAGGGACAGACTACAGAGGAGAAATTTAGAAACATTGCCCAGACATGGAGGGATGCTGTCAGGAAACTCACCAAGGCTTACCTGAAGGTGGTGCTCACAGGGAACAGCAAAACCAATCAGAAAAGTTGTATTATTAGGAAAAGTTTGAATAAAAAAGGCAGGAAGAAGGACCATGGAAACTACAGGCCTGTCAGCCTGACCTCAGTGCCAGAGGATCATGAAGCACATTACGCTGAATGCAATCACACAGCACCTGTGGGAAAAGAGGGGGATCAGGCCCAGTCAGGACAGCTTTATGAACGGCTGGTTGACCTCCTGTTGTCAACACCTTGACACAATACAGCATGACACAATACCATACTCATAGACAAACTGATAAATTATCAACTAGATCAATGAACAACAAGGGAGACTAAGAACTGGCTGAACTGGCAAGTTGAGAGGGTCATTATCAGTGGTGCACACAGAGCTCTTGCTCTGTGAGGAGATGCTTGTGGAGATAGGTTTGCTCAGTGTGGAGCAGAGATAACTTTGGGGATACCTAAGAGCAGGCTGAGGAAGTCGGAGCTGTTCAGCCTGGAGAAGAGAAGGCTGCGTGGAGACCTCATAGCAGCCTTCCAGTATCTGAAGGGGGGCTATAGGGATGCTGGGCAGGGACTCTTCATTAGGGACTGTAGTGATAGGACAAGGGGTAACAGGTTAAAACTTAAACAGGGGAAGTTTAGATTGGATATAAGACAGAAGTTCTTTCCTGTTAGGGTGGTGAGGCACTGGAATAGGTTGCCCAGGGAGGTTGTGAATGCTCCATCCCTGGAAGTGTTCAAGGCCAGGTTGGACAAGGCCTTGGGTGATATGATTTAGCGTAAGGTGTCCCTGCCCACGGCAGGGGGGTTGGAACTAGATGATCTTAAGGTCCTTTCCAACCCTAACGATTCTATGATTCTAAGGTCACACTGGATATAAGAAGAAGCTGGTTTCCCATAAGGACAGTCAGGTAGTGCACCAGTTGCCCAAGGAGGTTGTGCAGTCTCTGTCATTGGACACTTTCAAGATGAAGCCCTGAGCAGCCTTGTCTGACCTCAGAGTTGACTCTTCTGCATGCAGGAGGTTGGACCAGAGACTTCCTAACGTTCCTCCCAGTCTAACCTATCCTTTGATCCTGCAGTAAACAAAAGCTTCTTATCATTAGCATGGCGATAATTGTTTCATGCTTTCACCTGTGGGGTTCAGACACTGGTTCCTGTTAGAGTCATTATAGTTTCTGACTTTCTACATAGGAATGATGTAATGATTCAATGAATGAATGACCTAATGAGTTCAACTGACCTATGATTTTAACTCTTCCTATAATAAATTTATTTTTGTTACCAATTAATTTGCCATCTCTCTGAGCTATATACCATATAACCAAGTGCTTAATATAATGAAAAATATATGTATTACTTTATGTGGGACAATTTCTTTTAATTGTTTTAAATGCATTCTTACTGCCCTGTATCATCTCTTTATGGAGTTCTCATTACATAGCTAAAAGTGTCATCTAGTACCAGGTTTTAATTTTGAATATTGAAAACAGCTTAGAATCTGCCCCTTGTCCTAATTGTATGCAGGTACTTACAAAGCTTGCTTCCACAGCCATAGCTTCTGATTCAGTCGAAACATGAAAAATTCACGTAACTTCATCTCCACCTTCCAATACTACAGTACATGTAGTTTGCTAAGTATAAGCTGTTTTCTATGCCTGATTGAAGCTGTTGATGAAGGAATGAATTTCATACTTTATTCTGCTCTTGTATGGAAGTGACTTACATGATTAGCCTAAGTTTAACATCTTTCAAACTTTTGTCAGCTAGAGAACTTTTCCACACTGATCAGCAGTTAAACTCTTCTCACTAGTGGAGACAAAGGTTTTCTTGCTGTTGATGCCTGGAGATGGATTTCTGAGACCACAATTAGATAATATCAAAATGGTCTCAAAGAGTCACTACAGAATGCATGAATGGTAACTTTCTAAGGTGTGATAACTTATTGTGTGACAAAGCCATTTGCAGAGAGCTCACCACTTAGCTTTTGTTCTCTACTCTTTTGAACGTGTTCACTAGGTCCTGCACATGGAGGCTTTGAAAACATAATTTAGCATTCTACTTGTTCTATTAGTGTGACATCCGTTTGAATAAATTTGGTTTGACTTGGTTCCTGGCAGTGTGATGGATCACAGTTGTCATTTATACTAACAGTGGCAGTCTGCCTCCTCTATTTCATGTGCCTTGTGCTAGAATTTTCATTACTTTGTACAACAGAATTTGACTAGTAACAAGAAACACATACAATCAGTGCACAAAAAATAATAAATTCATGTATAAATCATTTTCACTAAAAAATCCTTGTATTTTAAACAGAAAAATATCACATAGCCTTGGAATAATACATATGGGGCATTTCATAGGTAGGATATGAACAATGTCCTGGTAAAGCCTTCCTGCTCATATGCCAAACTCAGTAACATGTTTCGTTCATTGTTGTTTCTCTGAGTTAAAGCAGCTGAAAATATTACAAGAGTGCATTTATGTAATACTATGTCTTCTGAACATTGTCAGATTGTTCCCCTAATTTCTAAACTTTAATTCCAACATGCACATGTGGA